GTTGCCACGAAGCTGTGGACATATGATCTCTGTGCTGCATTCTGTGTCCATGGACAAGGCATATTATTTGATGGTGTTGTTAGGGTGACTCAATGCAAAAATCATAAGGATCTGAGAATCCGTGCTTTGGAACCATGTTTTTGCAGCATGGTGTTGCCACAGAGCCTTGGCACCGTGATTTCTGTGGTGCAGGCTGTGGCCATGGACATGATATGGGATTTCATGGTATGTTTGTTGTGTCCCAACAGAAAAAACCCAAGCATCCATGAGGATCCGTGCTTCAGAATTATGTTTTTGCAGAATGGTGTCACCACGAAGCCGTGGATCTATGATTTTTGTGGTGCAAGCTGTGGACGTGGGCGTATTATGTGATTTGATGGTGAGTTTGGAGTGACCCAATTGAAAAACCCTGAGGATCCATGAGGATCCGTGCTTTGGAACCATGTTTTTGCAGTTTTGTGGTGCCACGAATTCATGGGGGCATGATTTTTGGAGTGCTGCCTATAGTCTAAGACATGGTCTGCAGTATGATGGTGGTTTTATTTTGTTTCAGCATAAAAATCATATGAATTTTTGAGGATCCGTGCTTTGGAATCATGTGTTTGCGCTGTTGTGCTGCCACGAATTTGTGGATGCGTGATTTTTGTGGTGCCCCCTATAGATTAACACATGGCCTACAATATGATGGTAGTTTTATTTCATTTCAATGTAAAAATCATATGAATTCATGAGGATCCATGTAGATCCGACTTTTACCTTTTCCCCTTTAAATCAAGAGCACGAGCTCCTTCCCTTATTTCTCTATGTGGGGAGAAGACAGATGTTGGTGCCAAACCACTGCCAAGACTGAAATTCCTGCAGGTCTCCAAGGAAACAATTCGTCATCGTAACCAGAGATCTTCGAAAAATAACCACGAAATCTGGTTCGCAAACAAAAGAACTGTTCCGCCTTCGGGCTGTTCGTTTCTTGGCAGGCGCGCTCGGCCGTTTCCGTGGCGCGCGTTCGGGTACTTCCGGCACCCCGCTTCGGCTCCCGTCGCGCTCGGTGCTTTCCGCCTTTTCCCGGGGTGCAGTCGCGTTCGAAGGGGGGTCCGTTTCTGGACAGAGGAGACGAGGACGGGTAAGGGGGGGGGGGGGG